TGCGAACCGGCCCGCTCCCACCCCTCCTGCGTGGTCCCCCTCACCCAGGACCGCAACCAGTCCTGGAGCCTGTCCTCACCTTGGCCCGGCACTGGCTTCACCCTCCAGCCGGGACCCGAGAGGTAGACACAGGGAGGGGGGCAGAAGAACCTGCGGGGACATGTAAGCGCCGGACTGGTGTGTCATCTCCCCCGGCCTGTCTTGTAGGCATCTCAGTGATAGCAGAGACGCAAAAGAACCCCCCTCCACCTTTGCCACCACCCTCCCAGGCTTCTCCGTGGCTGTGAACCCCATTCACATCCGAGCCTTCTTTTTCCACTCCCCCCACTCAACCCCTCAGTGAATCCTTTCAACTCCACCTTCCAAACCTATTCAGAATCCACTGGCTTCTCCCCACCTCCATCCTCACTTGTCCTCTTAAAATCCGCCCATGGTTTCAGTTCAAAGTCCTCACACGATCTGCCCCCCCCCAACCTCTCCAAGTTTACTTCCTACAACCCCAGCCTCCCTTGTCAAACTGCAGCCGCTCTATCTTGTACCCGGAACGGGCCAAGTTGGTTCAGCCTCAGGGTCCGTGCACTTTCTGTTTCTGCTAATCAGAATCGCTTCCCCCAGATTTTCTCCTGCCTGGCTCCATTTTCACACCGAAATCTCGGTTCAGGTGTGATCTTGACCTTTCTAGCTGAAGTAGCCCCCCTTCCCTTCCAATCACATTGCACTGTTCTATTCCCTTCTAGCTCTCATCCGGGTCTTGTGGGGACTTCATTGTCTGCCTCTTCCACACTGGAATGAAGGTGCCATGAGAGCGGGGACTGTATTCGTCTCCTTCAGCTGGGTGCCCAGTGCCCAGCGGCGCTCAGAAGGCCTGGCACTTGACAAGCAACTTGACTAGTTGTTAGTGAAAGTATGAATGAATGTGTGAATGAATGGGGACTGTAGATTCCCAAGGAGGTTCTGCTGAAACCAAAGTAGGCATTATAGGTGACTGAGCGGAAAGGCCCGTGATCCGTCAATAGCTAAGGCACGGGTTCTGCTCAGGTACTAAAACACTACACGGGCAGGGGCGCATATGGCGGGACTCTGAAGTGACCTGGGAGGGGCCGCCGGGGCACCTACCGTTTCTCATTTCCGTAAGACTTCTGGGCCACCTTGGCGTGCAGGATCCGCACCGTCTGCTCGCACTGCTGCTGCAGGCACCGGCGCACGCCTTCCCGCAGGACTGTGGTGCGCTCTGGGGGTGACCTGGGAGGCCAGCGGCAGGGAGTGTCAAAGGGCGCGGTGCCACGGAGCTCGAAGCGCTTTAGTCGGATGAGATGAAGTTCTAGTGGTGCCCCCTCGTGGTCAGAGCGAGGAAGTGTTGGGTGAGGGAGGGGACGCCTCCAAGTCGGGGGCTAAATATTTGGGCGGCGCGGTGCTCCGTGAGGCCTGCACAGAGCCCACCGGGACCACCCAGGCGCCACTTTGCGGGTCTGGCTCCACGCCCACCGTATCCTGGAGCACTGGGGAGAGGCCCCAGCAGCACAAAGGCCGCACTTGTGTTGGCCTGGGGATGGAGGCAGAGTACGTGAGGGCGCGTGGCTTTCCCTGCAGCCCGAGGGGAGCCACCCCGGGGAAGTGCTGGTGCCAGGGAGGAAGAGCCTGTGCTAGGCCCACGCATGACAGCCCTCCCTGGCCTGTGGGCAGGCGCCTGCGCACATGGAAAGACCCCCAAATTGTGTGTGTGGGGAGGGGGCGGATTTCAGTTATTCCGAGGTCGAAGTACCACTCCCTTCCCCCTTCCTTCCAAGAGCAGGGGCCTGTTACTCTCTCGGCTTTACTTCCCCTGATCGCAGGGCCTCCACTGACCCCGTGGAGTGGGCCAGGCAGAGCCTAGGGGACCTGCTGGCTTCCCAGCCTGGAAGTTTTGACGGGTGAGGGTGGCTGGGCCCAAGACTTGAGCAACTGCCAACCAAGACTTAAGCAATTGCAGAGAGCGTGTGAAGAAGGCCGTCAGGGCAGAGCTTTGACGGACCACCAGGTCTGGCTGGGGAGAACCATGAACCTTGAGGCTGACCTTCTGGTCCTATACCCTCCTCGCAGGACCAGTGTCCGCAGGAGGCCTCTCCTCACTCCTGGAGGGCACGGCGGAGGGCAACGGCCGGCCGCGCCCTCGGAAGCAAGGCCAGGCGGACGGCGGCCCCGCCAGGCCCCGCTCCGCCCCTAGGGGCTCTCCTCGGGGAAGTGGCTCGGAGCCTCCAACGCGTTCCGGCTGCGGAGTGGGTAGCCGCCCAGCCTCCCGCTGTACGGAATTCCAGCCCCGCAGCCCGAGAGGCAGCTCGCAGGGTGACTGGAGCAGGGGGCTCCGATCTGGCCCCGCCCCACCCTCCGGAGGAAGGGGGATCGTCCAGCCGGTGGGAGGCGTCGCAGCCCACGCTCCCCTCCCCATCCGCCAGCCCGGGTTAAATGCGGCCGCCGCCTCCGCTCCCTCCAGCTGCCTGGCAGTCCCCGCCTCGGGCACGCTGCCCGAGCTGTTACCTGTTCCAGCTGCCCGGGAGGCTCCGCCCGTCGGCTCCGCTCTGTGGCCGCGCCTCCGGGTTGTCCAGCAGGTTCAGGTGAGTCAAAGGGCCTGGGGGCGCTGAGGGGTCTGCGGGGGTGCAGGCGGCCAACCAGACCAGGGGACCCTACGTAACCGCGGTGCCCGCATTGGACCTGCAGTGCCCTTCCCCGCTTCTGGGGCATCCTTTTCAAATTGGGTCCCCACCAGCAAGCCCACCAAAAAGGGGCGGGGACGTTTCTCCTAACTGCCTCCCCCTAGGGACCCCCAGGAACGTCCTCAAGGTGTTCACTCTTGGACCAACTCCTGGGTTAGTCACAGAACTGCCTGGCGAGCCCACTTCCCGCACCCTAAAGGCATTTCCAGATCTTTCATTCCACGCAGGACTAATTAACCCCTCCGAGGAGCCCTGGGTTCTAGCGTCAGCCTCGTTGCGGCGTTGCTGTGTGACTTTGGGTGAGACACTGCCCTCTCTGGACCTAGTTCCTTCCTCTGTAGAATGAAGGGTTGGAAAGATGATGCACTTGGAGGAAGCCGCTATTTTGACGTTCTGGGGTTCCTGGGGTGCAGGTGGGGTGCCAGGTGAGATGTTTGCTCAAGCCAAGAGCAGGATAAAGGAGTCTTTTATCAAGATTTGGGGGCCCAGAGGCTTCTGAGAGTAGGAAAGGATGAGAGGCAGCAAAGAGTCCTTGTCCCTCTACCCGCATGCTCCCCGGGGGTACTGGCCTCAGCTGTGGCCAGAGCTAGAGGAGGCAAGCCACACCCTCCCACCTCCGGCCCCTGGCACATCTGACTCAGTCACCCGGGCATGAAGGACTCTGCCGGAGGGATTTCTGTTCTTCCACCAGGCCTGAAAGTCGAAGGCGGAGAGGGTCGGGGACGCGCAGGCCGCCTAGAGTGAGCGGCAGGCACTCGACCTTGCTCAGAATAGACCCATTCACGAAACTGGGGGGAGGGGCGGGATGCGGTTGGGTTGGGGAGGCTGGCCCCTCTACCAAGAGACAGCAATAGAAAAGTGGCTAACGCAGCTTCAGCTCGGGGGCGCGGGGGTGGGTGGAGGGAGCACAGGGAGCGAATGGAAGGGAAAGAGGTCCTGTGTCTTCTGGACGTCAGGTTGCCAGGCAGCTCAAAAGGAAGAAAGGGAGCAAAGAGTCCTAGGTTCCTTTGCAGCTCAGCGAGCTGCCTTCTTGGGCCTCACTTTTCCCTTCTGTACAATGGGAGTCTTTCATGAGTCTCAAGGGGCCTTGGGAAGGTGAGCGCTCACCTGCTGCCCCCACAGGATCCATGGTCACGTTCTGAGGCCCCCCAGCCGCTCACTCACTGCCCTCTGGGTGCGTCCAGTGCCGTTGTCCCCAGAATCTTGCGCACTCCTGCCCTTGGGCCCTGGAACCGGATATATCCCACTCGGTCTTATCTCAAGGCCCAGGGGCTCCTGGCCGGCTGTTTGCTCTGTGCAGGGGCACCTGCTGGGCAGATGCAGGCTTCCCACGGCCACCTAGCCAATGAGGCCAGACCTTGAAGGCGCCCCCTGGCTGCTTCTCCTGAGAGCTGGCGGGAAGCGGAGGCGTGGAGCCTCAAATTCAAGTGCGTGGTGGGTTTTGGCCAACGCAGTGCCCCCCTTCTCCGCCTCCTGCCCTCCTAACACAGCGAAAGGGCGAGTGGCCCTTCCCTGAGGTCTGTGGTTGTGCGATGAGTGTCTGAATGTGTGTGTGTATGAAAGAGAGAGAGACAGAAGGACAGCCACACAGAGGCGCCTTGTACGGTTAGGCAGTAGCAGACCGGGTACCGGAAGTGGGGAAGGGCTTCCTTCTGCAAAGGTTTTCTTCCCCGCGGAGACGAGGGCATGGAACACGATGGCTTTCTCCTTGGAAACCCCTAGTCATAGGATTGTGTCCTGGCGCAGCCGCTTTCTTGTCCTTTCTTGAGACTTTGAGCACCAGCATTGAAGCTTTTCGAGCCGGTTTCCGAACCTATATAATGGCAGCACTAACAGCCCGTCCCAGGAATTGTCAGCGGACTAAATGCCACAGTGCATGGGAAGCATTTAACAGGGTGCCTGGCATAGAGGAACGTCTTTTTATTTTTAAATTGTGTATATTTTAATCTACTATGTATTTGCAAAGCAGAATTCCTTATGTTTCCCAGAAATCTCACTGTAATGAGAATGAATTATTATGACCTTGGCCAAGGTGGCTCAGTCGGGTAGGGTGTTGTCCCTTCCTGCACCTGGTCTCTTGCTCTCTGTCTCTCTCATGGATGCTTCTCTCTCTTTCTTCCTCTTTCTCTCTCTCAAACAAATGAAAAAAAATACCCTCAGGCAAGGGTTGAAAAATTGATAATTATGAAAGCATACCCCAAAGTAGAAAGATTAGTAAAGCAAGCCCTTGGCCCTCCTCCACCTCCAAGTGCCTGTCCTCCAGAATTTGTTCTGCAAATACTGTGATTTTGTTTCCCGGCCTCCCTCCAGGCTCCAACACCTCCGTTCCCTGCTCCGAAAGTGCCATGAGGGTCCTCCCATGTTCGCCGCTGCCCATGTTGCTGCTGCTCCTCTGGCCCTGGGAAACCCACCTCCAGTTCGAAGGTGAGCCCTCACTAGTGAGGGGAGAGGAACAAAAGTGGGTTTTCTGCCTGCACCCCGCTAGGCCTGCTGGGGAGAGAAACGCAAGAGCTTTAATATGCTCGGCAATGGCTCCCAATGCACCATTTCCCCTCTCTGGGCCTCAGTGTCCTCCTGGGTAGTAAGTGGCTTAGAGATAACAAAATAGCAGAATGCCCATTTGGTGCTGAAGTTTTAAAAGTTAATGGAAAAATCAGGAGATGTCACACATAAAAAAATCCCGATTTGGGACTTCTCTTGAAAAATCCAAGGGTCTGCTAACATGGGGTCCACAAGACTGCATGGCAGTATTTGGCTGGAGCTGCCCAATTTAGAAAGAATACAGGCTCTCTGGGCGTCCACCACCCTACCCTACCAGTTCACTCATTTATGTTGTCTACTTGGCCCCTACAGGCATTTGAATTTGCAAAATTCCCTCTCCCAAATAGGTAAATACCTCCTCAGAATAGCCCTCAGAGCTGTAGGAAAGGAAAGTGGTGAAATCTCCTAGCCCAGGTCTTCAGCAAATGCTGGGCGAGTGAATGTAGGTAACTTGCATTTGGTGGGCTAATTCTGTGGGGGCGCTGTTATGCAGGGATAGCACCGTTCCGCCCTAGGTTTCCCGGGGGATCTCCTCGGAGATGACGTGTTGCTGACCTAAGAAAGTCCTTTCTGATCTCCTTGCAGGTCCCAGGTGCCGTACTGGGCCCCTGGATTTGGTGTTTGTGATTGACAGCTCGCGCAGCGTGCGCCCCTTCGAATTCGAGACCATGCGGCAATTTCTGGTGGGCATCCTGCACGGCCTGGACGTGGGGCCCAATGCTACGCGTGTTGGCGTGATCCAGTATTCCAGTCAAGTGCAGAGTGTCTTTCGACTCGGTGCGTTCTCGCGCCGCGAGGATATGGAGCGTGCCATCCGTGCTTTGGTGCCGCTGGCGCAGGGCACCATGACCGGGCTGGCGATCCAGTACGCCATGAACGTGGCCTTCAGCGTGGCCGAAGGTGCGCGTCCTCTAGAGGCCCGCGTGCCACGAGTCGCTGTCATCGTGACCGACGGGCGGCCCCAGGACCGCGTGGCAGAGGTGGCAGCGCAGGCGCGCGCCCGCGGCATTGAGATCTATGCGGTGGGGGTGCAGCGCGCGGACGTGGGCTCCCTGCGCGCCATGGCGTCCCACCCACTGGACGAGCACGTCTTCCTGGTTGAGTCCTTCGACCTTATCCAGGAGTTTGGCCTGCAGTTCCAGGGCCGGCTGTGTGGTGAGCTTGGAGAGTGCTGGGTCCAGGCTGAACTGCCTAGAATCCCGCCCCATCCTGGATGGCCCCGCCCACTCCAGCTTTAGCCCCGCCCACCAGAATTGCTCAGGCCTGACGCTAGCGCTGTGTCACCTGCCAGCTCTACTCACTTTCACTTAGGCTTCGCCCACCAGGAGCAACATTTGGCGTGTCTCCCTACCAGGATGAGCTGTGCGTGGTTTACCACAGGCTTAATGTCCAACACGGGAAACACTGCCCGTCCAAGCTGAGAGCAAGAGTCCACTCCCAAGAGGAGTCGTGTCCGCCCCCGTGTCCCAGCCACGCCCACTCACATTTTAGCTCCTCCCACAGCCTTGAGTTACTCCGCCCATCTTGATTCAGTCCCTCTCCCCTTTCTGTCTTACCCCTGGGTAGTCCTGCCCTGTCCTATTGACACATCTAACCCCGCCCCGCTCTTATGAGCCCATTAGCGGTGCTGTTCAGGCCCTATTCTGTCCTGAAGCTGTCCGACCTGGCTCATCCCTTCTCAAATGAGTCTTATCCCACCTAGGGGCATCCTTGATCATGGTTCCTGCCTTTGACCCCATCTAGCTGTCTCTTACTGGGGGGTTCTGCCCATCTGTTCCCTGCTGACTCTACTCTTGTGTGTCCTCAGCAAAGGATCTGTGTGCAGAAGGGGTACATGGCTGCCAGCACCAGTGTGTCAGCTCCCCGGGCATGTTCCACTGTGCCTGCAACCCGGGCTACCAGCTAGCAGCAGATAACAAGAGCTGTTTGGGTGAGAGCGACTCCTGCCCTGCAATCCCCCTGCTCCTGAGCCTTCTGTGGCTCCCCATTGCCCCAGTACCAGCCCAGTAGGTCTGGAAGGGCCTTTGGAAGTAAAATCCTGCTCCCTCATGTTACAGGTCTAAGAAAGGAAAGGTATGCCTGGAGTAACACAAGTCCTTGGTGGGACCAGGGCTAGAAACCTTTACCCCACAGTTAAGCATGCTTTCTGCCTCCTTCTGTCCACTCTTTCTGGCTCATCTCCTACCGGGCTCCAACACACTGGCTCGTGTCTTCCAGGCACATCTTCACAGTTGCCGTAACTTGGACACCACTGCGGTCTTCAGTTAGGGTCTCCGGGCACCGCCACCCCTGCCTCGGTCATGCTGCAGTTCCTGCTGCACCTCAGCTCGCCCCTGGCTGCTCACCTGGGCCCTCTTGCTGCTCCGCTCTGCACCTGCCAGCCTTTCAAGGCCTGAGTCTTCATTTCTGCCTCCTGAAAGCCCTAGGCACACAATGCCTTACTTATACAACCGGGACTTTCTTTTTCATGTGCGTGCGTGTCCTTGCCTTTGATCTTAGCAGCAGCTACCATTTACTGGGTGCCAAGTCAGTATCAGATCTTGTGCTCCGTGCAATGTGTACGTCATCTCTCAGGCTCACAAGAACCTGGAGAATGAGGTCAGGTGGTTCCCCTATCCCAGGTGTCCTCTGGCATCTTCTTGTTTCTAGAACAAAACTGGCTTGAAGCCCCATGTGATGACCCGTGAACATCCCAATCCGCCCCCAGGCGCTTCCTTTCTGTGGTCTCCCCTCACTCTGAGCTCCTGCTGGATTCAATCAGGTTATGGCTCCTCCCTCAATTTCTCGCCCTCACACCAGCTGCCCTTGTTCTATATGTGTAAATCAGCCTCTTTCTTAGTTTACACACTTGTGAGCACAAGGGCATGTGTGTGTGTATGTACATTTCCTTCATATTTTCATGTTACAAAAGAGGCGGTGAACAGAGGTGTGAATTACATCTAAGTCAAGTCAAACATACACACAGGAAAGGAAACATCCATTTTTTCTAATTGAATATTAAGCACCCTTGACCCTGAAAGCCCTCAGTCACTCCTCTACCAAGGATTGTTTACTGGCATCTTCAACCCACAGAGTCACTCATCTTCACACTATTTGTCTGTTCTTTTCCTTCCTTTCTTCATTTCCAGCTCTTTTCTAGAAACCCCAAACTCTCACTTTTGTGTGCAGGCTAATTCACCTCTCCCCAAGCCCTACTGCCCAGGGCAGCTTTAGGCCACCTTTGCACCTGAAACTCAGCAGGATATTCAACTGGGCAGCAGCATGGCCTCCTTGGAAGGAAGCTGTGAATAGCAATTGCTCGCCTCTGTTATACTCCCCTTTTGCAGAGGGGGAAATGGAGGCGCGGGCAGGTGAAGTGGCAGAGTGTGGTCCTCTATTAGCCAGTGAGCATCTTCAGGGCAGGGACTCTGTCTTCTGCAGATTCCTGGCTCAGTAAGGGACACTCTGGGGGCTTGAGTTGGCAGAGCCCCCTGGCCCAGAGGAAGGAGGCCAGTGCTTATAGAAATCACAGATGCCTGGGGACCACCCCAGACTAAGTCAGAATCTTCAGGAATTGGGGTCCAGGCATCGGTGAAAAGCTGTGCTGTCAGGGCTGAAAAGCAAAGCCCCGAGATATACGCCAGCCTCCCCTCTTCCTCAGTCATTGACCTGTGTGCTGAAGGCACCCAGAGCTGTGAGTGCCACTGTGTCAGCTGCCCAGGTTCATATTTCTGTCACTGCCAAGCTGGCTTTGTACTCCTGTAGAACTGGAGGAGCTATAGGGGCGAGGGAGGCCCGCCCCCCACTAGCATCCTAGACCAAAGTCCCGGAGGCTCCAATCAGGAGTGACTCCTCACTGCCTCCTCCTCCTCCCTCCAGTCATTGACCACTGCAGCTTCGGGAACCACAGCTGCCAGCAGGAGTGTGTTAGCACCCTGGGCGGGCCACGGTGCCGCTGTAGAGAGGGCCACGACTTGCTGCCTGATGGGAGGAGCTGTCAGGGTAAGGAGGGGTCTCCTGCACTGTGCAGAGGGGTGGGGCGGGGGTCTTGGTTGTGGAGCCCACCCTGACTCATCCTGACCTGTCTCTCCTTCAAGCTCGGGACCTTTGCAATGGCGTGGACCATGGATGTGAGTTCCAGTGTGTGAGTGAGGGCCTCACCTACCACTGCCTGTGCCCTGATGGGCGGCAGCTCCAGGCAGACGGCAAGAGCTGTAGCCGTGAGTTACGGTTGGGAGGGGGTTCTGTCTGTCCCTGCCTCCTGCTCACGTTCGGAGCGTCCTTGAGTCTGCTGTGAGTGTGGTGTGAATGTGCGTGGGTGTGGGTGGTGGTGACGGGGGCGTGGAGGGCATGCCGTGCCCTGCCTCAATTCTCTGCCCTGTTGTCAAAGTTAACTCCTAAAATACGCATTTGATCACACTCCTCTCTTGCTCAAAAGCCATTTTGGCTCACCACTACCTACAGAATTATGACCAAACGCCTTACCTCTGAGTTTTCAGATGCTGGGTGCAACCACATTAGTGGATAACGAAATCAAATTAGGGGATTACAGCCAGCATTAGAAAGAAAGAGAGAGCCCTGGCCAGAGTGGCTTGGTTGGCTGGGTGCCCGCCCATGACGTGAAAGGTTGCCAGTTCCATTTCCGGTCAGGGCTAATGCCTGGGTTACGGGTCTGGTCCCCGGTCAGGATGTGCATGAGAGGCAACCAGTCTCTGTTCCCCTCTCACACAGATGTTTCTCTCCCTCTTTCTCCCTCCCTTCTCCTCTCTCTAAAAGTAAGTAAATAAAATCTTAAAAAGAGGAAGGGAGAAAAAACAGAGTTTACAGCATGTAGAAAGAGCAAGCATTGCTTCATGAATTTAATTTTAATGATGTGTAGTATGTCACAATGTGTTATTATCATTTTTGCTGTGGGTTGTGGTCATGTTTTTGAAACCACTGCCTTAGCTCATTCCAGTCTGGCTCCAGCCAAACCCATGAACCTGTCTGAACATCTTAGCCACCCTGTCCTGCGCACTCCCGAATGCGTCGAGAGCTCTCAGCTTCCCTGCCTCCGCACATTCTGTCCCCACCATGTAGAATGTCCCTTCCTGCCTTGGAGAACTCCTACCCATCCTTGAAGACCAAGCCAAATGTCACCACCTCCGTGCAGCCTTCCTCGCCAGCTCCAGGAAAAGTGAATTGTTCTTCCCACGGGCTCTCTCTGCAAGCCCCTCTATTCTAGCGTTTCCCTTAATGGTAACACACGGCACGTCCGACACGACTCTGCTCTGCCCTGGTTTCCTTACAGGTCAGGATTGAGCTGCATTGATTGTTGGACCTTCCTCAGGGCCGGCAAAGTCCCTGGCTCACAACGGACGAGTCCACACTGCTGAGGGATTGGGAGCGTGGGTTTCGGGGTCAGAGAGACCTCGTTTCAAATCCTGGCTCAGCCATTCATAGCCACAAAATTCGGATCAAAGCATTTTAGCCTCCAGAACCTGAGGTTATAGAAAATGGGGACAGTCCCCAAGGTTATTGGGAGGATGGAGAAAAAAATATATAAAGCACCCAGTGCAGCATCTGGTGCACGGTCAGCTGACAAGTAATGTTTTTGTTTAGCATTGTTAATACTGGCCAAGTGTTTAGAGTTCTGTCCGATACCTAGTGGATGATCAATAAATGGTAACTCTTGTGGTTGCGGGCATCATTTTCATTATCATCATTATTAAAAAGATGCTTTTAGCAGATCGCCTGGCTTGTGCTTAGCACCCAGTAAATGGTGAAGGTTAAACGGTGAGCTGGTAACAAGAGCAGGTCATGCCAGTGCCCAGCACGGGGAGCCCTTCACACACGGTGTCTGTTACACAGTCAGTGTGCTGTGTGAACGAACGCCCAGATGTGCAGATGGCCGCTGCCAGCCAAAGCACTGGTTTCTCCCGCCAAGACCTTCCTTCCCTTCGCTGTGCAGGGTGCCGGGAAGGCCACGTGGACCTGGTTCTGCTGGTCGATGGCTCCAAGAGCGTGCGCCCGCAGAACTTCGAGCTGGTGAAGCGCTTTGTGAACCAGATCGTGGACTTCCTGGACGTGTCCCCCGAGGGCACGCGCGTGGGGCTGGTGCAGTTCTCCAGCCGGGTGCGCACGGAGTTCCCGCTGGGCCGCTACGGCACGGCGGCCGAGGTGAAGCAGGCGGTCCTGGCGGTGGAGTACATGGAGCGCGGTACCATGACCGGGCTGGCGCTGCGCCACATGGTGGAACACAGCTTCTCCGAGGCGCAGGGCGCGCGACCCCGCTTCCTCAACGTGCCTCGCGTGGGCCTGGTCTTCACCGACGGCCGCTCCCAGGATGACATCTCAGTGTGGGCAGCACGCGCTAAGGAGGAAGGTGGGCTTGGTGCTGGACGCACCGGCCTGGGGTCGGGTTGGACACGGGGAGGTGGCTTTTCTGAGGTCTAGGGCACCCCCTGTCTCCCCTGTAGGCATCGTCATGTACGCCGTGGGCGTGGGCAAGGCAGTGGAGGAGGAGCTGCGCGAGATCGCCTCGGAGCCCGCGGAGCTGCACGTGTCCTACTCTCCCGACTTCAGCACCATGACGCACCTGCTGGAGAACCTCAAAGGCAGCATCTGCCCCGGTGAGCGCCTCCGGCTGGGGGAGCTCCTCCCGCTGCCCAGCCTCTGCTCTCTCCCCTTACTGGTGACTCCCCAGCCCTTTCAGAGTTACAGCCAAGGCAGGGGCTCGCCGCTGGACGGAGCCTTGTCACTCAAAGCGGGGTCCACGCCCCCGCAGAACCGCAGCATTCCCAGTCTCTCCAGCCCTGACGAATTAGGCCGTGCACTTTAACAAGCCTTCAGGGTGTTCATGTGTATGTCAATGTTTAAGAGGCACTAGACTGAGCTACCCGTCCCAAATATTAGTGGGTGCTCAGAATAATTTGGGGGAACTTTTTCAAAGGAACGCCAAGCCCAGCATTTCTAAGTGGAGTCACGTCATAGATTTTATTAACTTGCTGAAAGTCGGCTTTGCAGACCCAACAGAGTGGCAGGACCCCATGTGTTTTGAGCACACAGAGCTGTGTATTTTCTCTTGCACGATGCTGCCCATGACTGGGATCTGTCTACTTTTTTCGGGGGTTCACTGAAGAAAAGAGGGGCAGCACCCTCTGTGGAGGGGAAGGGGCTGTCAGACCTGGGTGCTGTGCAGGCCCCATGGGGGGGTTCCTGGGGGGCAATTTTACCAGAGAATCTATACTAAGATGCAACTCTTCTTCAAGATTTTCAGGCTCTGCCACCAGAGTAGGGCTGGGCCAGGCCTGGAAAATTCTACACACACACACACACACACACACACACACACACACACACAGAGTTAATCCTTGAACAACCCTTGCACTGCATAGGTCCACTTATATGTGGATTAAAAAATATGCCTATTCGTGGACCTGCCCAGTTCAAATCCATGCTGTTCATGGGTCAGCTGTATTTTCCATCTGCAGCGGGAGTCTGCACCTGCAGAGGGCTGACTTAAGTGGCACACAGAGTCTTAACCATGCACTGGATCAGGGCTCCTAACCCCCACTTTATTCAAGGGTCAGCTGCACACACAGACATACATGTGCATAGTATATGCATATACATATATACACACGTACACACACACACACAGGCGAATTCTAATAATGAGCCGGTGTATTGTGGAGGCCCTGGATTAACTGTTCCTTCACAGCCCTTTCTGTCCTGGCTCTTATGTCCCACACGGTGGGACTTTGGACAAGTCACTTAGCCCCCATCTGTGCCTTACCTTCCCTCTTCTGTAACAGAGGAGGCTGCCCAAGGTTGCCTCCAGCTCTAGAATTCTAAGGGAAATCTGGGCTCTGAGGCTCTTCACTAATTGCCTGTATGACCTTGGGCAGCTCCTCCCTCCTCTCTGGCCCTTGGTTTCCTTCTCTGCGAAGAGTTTTTTTCAGGACAGTCCTCAGTACCATTTAATGACGTGACAGACAGGAGTTTGCTAAGGGCACATACAAGATTGAGAGATAACTTTCTAGATCATGGCCTGGGCATGTCCCGTCACATTAAAAATGGCACATGTGTACAGAATGGCAGCACATCTAAGGTACATCCATCGTCAAACTCACCATTATTTTCTATACAGCTAAGAAAAAAGCAGGTGCCCAATTTAACCGTAAGGCACTTATTTTGACTTTAGAGATGTTGGAACGTGTCAGAGGTAGACCTGAATTAGCGGTTCTTAGGCGTCCGTGGGCATCCGACTCACCCAGAAGTTAAAACAACAGCTTGCAGGAGGGCTGGCTGAAAGCAGATGGCTGGGCTCCAAGCCTGGGGTTTCTGAGTCGGAGGTTTGGGGTGGAGTCTGATGATTTGCATTTCTAATAGCTTCCCAGATGTGGGTGCCAATGCTTCCAGGCCAGAGACCACACTTGGAGAACCGCTGGCCTAGTTCAAATACTCTCTCAGGTGTCTGCTGTGCCAGGCGGTGCTCTGGATCCGCACCGGCCAGTAAGACAGCCACGGGTGAGGTGTGCCCACTTGATTTAAATGAATTGAAATTAGACAAAGTTCAAATTTTACTTCTTTAGTCACACTAGCCACATTTCAAGTGTTAAATAGCCACATGGGGCTTGCAGCTACCACCCGGCACAGGATTGATGCATGAAGTGTTGAGAAACACTCTTCCGAAGATGTGCACACGCATATCCTAGAATCCTCAGCACCAGCCAAATGAATAGGTTTTCTCATTGAATCCATTTTTACAGTTGAGGAGACTGAGGCTTAGGGAGGTTGGGTGAGGTTTCTAATATCTCATAGCTACCTAGCTGGGACTCTTCCCAGGTCTGTTTGAACCCAAAGCTCATACAGCCAGCCACAGTCTGGGTGGGGGTGTATCAGAGGGCCTCGGCCAGGGCAGGCTGGTCCTCCTGCAGATTTTGATTCCCCCAACTCTCTGTGCCCGGCTGGCAGAGGAGGGCATCAGCGCGGGGACAGAGCTTCGGAGTCCCTGTGAATGTGAAAGCCTCGTGGAGTTCCAGGGCCGCACGCTGGGGGCGCTCGAGAGTCTGACTCAAAACCATATCCTTTGGGGATGTCGGAGGCAGCTGGGGTGAAGGGGGCGGGACCCCCGAGATCCCCAACGACTTCCTTAACAGCTCACTCGCCCAGCTGACGGCGCGCCTGGAGGATCTGGAGAGCCAGCTGGCTACCCATATGTGAGGGCCTTGGTGGCCGGGACCCGGGCCGGGCGGCTCCTGAGGACTGTAGGGACCCTCCTGTGCCGTCGGGTTGCGGGGGGCCGAGTGAGCCTGAGCCCCTGGGGCTCGGGCTGCTGGAGACACGGGGCTGGCGGGCTCCCAGCACTGCGCTCGAGCTGGCCTCTCCGGGCCCGCAAACCTGACTGTGGGGGACAGGGGCGCATGCTAGATCCGCGGGCCCTTGTCGCGTGCTGATGCGCTCAGTTCTTTGTTGGGTTTCTTTTTTTTGTTTTCTTTTTCTTAAAAAAAAACAAAAAAAAAAAAACTGGTTTCCATGGGGTCGGTGTGTGGGTATTGCTGTGCCGCCAGGGGGAGGGGGGCCAGACGAAGTGCGCTCCAGCGGCGCCCGAGCGGCGTCTCCGCTCTCCGCCGGAGAAAGGCGCATTGTGCGGGGGTCGGCCTAGGGGGCAGGGAACCGGGCACTGCTTCCCCCTCCTTGTTTATTTAGCCTAGAACAGACGACTCCTTCTGAAAGCAGCAGGAAGGGAGGGGGCTCCAGGGAACCCTTGGGGTCTGCACAAGTCTGTGCTCCTCCATTCACTAGAGAGGGTTGAATGAATGATTCACTCTCTGGCCTTGCCAGTTTCCTAGTACCCCCAAATCCCCAAATCTGGATGAAAAGCTGCTAGGACTGGACGGGGGGGCGGGGAGAGAGTCGGTGAGGAAATAGAAGGCCGTAACTGAGCCCCTCATAGACTGAGTGGGGGCCGGATAGGTGAGTTTTGTCTGGATTTTATCTCCCTCCTGCACTAGGTAGGAAGAAGAGAGGGTACCAGAGGGACCTCTGGCACAGAGCAGGCCTCTGCCTCCGCTCCTGAAACAAAACTCCTACAACCAGCCCTCTGCGGTAAAGATCAGAGACCAGTACCGTTTTCCAAGTGCGTGGAAGAACATGCAAAGATTTAAAATGCTCCCAGTCCTGGAGTGATTGTGGGCAGACGACTCTGGGTGTGTTTCCATATCTGTGCAATGTGGATTGATATTGCTCCCCCCAGAAGTGAGGGTGAGAATTGAGGAAAGTATTCTAAGGCATCTGACATTTTCCCTGGCACATCTTAGGCTCTCAATTAGTGGTAGCTATTAATTCTTCTTACAATAATAGCTAACATATTCTTGAGCATTACACTAAGTAATTTGCAGGTATTTTCATTTCATCTTTACAACCACCTTGTGAGGCAGGAATCATTGCCTTTATCATCCCCATTTTACAGGCCTTCCAGCCAAGCCTTAACCTATGGCTGGGATTTCTGCAGGTGGCCATGGGGGGAGAGGTGTTACAGGTGAATGATGTGGGGTTAGGAGTGACGGGAGTATGTGGGGACAGGATGATTGAGATGTACCTGGGTCTGAGGGTTAGATGGGCTAAAGTGCTACTCACTGGTTTGTGACCCTCACCTGCCCAACCCCTTATTTTACAGTTGGGGAGCCAGGCCTAGAGGGCAGGGCGAGCTGCCCAAGATCACAAGGTGAGAGAAGCCCCCCAGGGTCGGGCAGCTGCCTAGCGGGTCTGATTGAACTGAGGAGGTCACCTGATGGGGTGGCACCCAGAGCAAAAAGGCAAGGCTCCCTCCTTTGGCGTTGGCGGGGACTGCCATCTGTGGTTATCGTTTTTTTTTCCCCCATCCTCTCTTTTATCCTGTAATCTGCTCAATGGCCAGTAGATGGCGCCTGAAGCTCTGGCTTGAGTCCTACATCAGGCTTTTGGCATCGTCTCTGGGAGTAAGGCATCAGGGTGGCCTTTCTTTGTAAGGCCCTCTTTTGTGTTCAGGCCCTTCCGCCACTCTGCAGGCCCCGCCACCCCAGGCACACTCCTGGGTTTGTGGACGAGCCCTGCTGCTTACCAGGGGTGTCCTGTTGACAGGTGCCAGTTTCCTTCCCCATCTCCAACCCCCTCCCTGCTCTCATTTCCCTTTCCTCTTACCTACCCCCTTTTGCCTTTGGTTAGGAGAGAATGTCCCCCCCACACTGGGTAGCTAGCCTTTGCTTCTTTGTTTACACCCCTCCTGCTTCAAAGGATAGCAGACTTACAGAGGACTCAGTTCAGTAAAGCCCATTAACCCAAGGACAGAAAGAATCCAAGTAACAGTGTGGGCAGGCAGGAGAGGACGGCGACAATGCCAGGAAAGCTTAGGTCCAGAGAAGGCACAGAGTGTAGCAGACACTGGGCCTGGGCCTCCTGGCGGCCAGAAGCTGATAACACTGGGCACAGAGCACTTACCTTTTGGGGACTCTTGAGTCCAGGTCTCCTAGAAGGAAGGAGAGCCCCCGGCCCTCTTGGTTCCCTGGAGTTTCAATATTTAAAAGCCAGTATCTTCCACAGCATTCAGCAGAGATATCACTCACAGAACTGTTTCTTCACTGGGAACATGCGCTAGACGTGGCCCCCGACGGGCAAACCAAGGGCAGGAGGGGCCTGTGACCTTAGCCAGTCACCCTGACTTTCTGAATTGCGGCTCTCTCCGTCTTCTCTGGCCTTCCATTTTCCCCTGAGTTTTGGCCTTTCTATCCTGTTCTAGCTCACAGCCCTTCTCGGTTGCTCCAGCTGGCACAGCTGCTGACCGACCCCAAGGGCTATTGACTCTTCTGCTTCTTTGGGCTCAAGATAGTGGGGAAGGGAGAGAAGCAAACCATCCCTTACAGGGCCCCTCCGGGGGGCCAGGGACTGCGCTCTGCCCCTCACCCGCACTGTCCTGCTTAAACCCTCTGCCTGTGGGAGGGAAAACCAAGTTTCTAAGTGGCCAGTTGCCCATGGCCACAGAGCTTCCAAGCCCGGATGTGAACCCAGGTGTCCCTGATCCCAGGCACGCCTATTATCTATCCTTCAGTTCATCAGGGACAAATCCTAAAAGTGGAAGTGCGATCCACAGAAGAGACATGTAGCTATTAACTACCTTGAAGTGTGCAGCTCAGCGGCATGTAGTGCGTCCACAGTGCCGTGCAATGACCACCTCTGTCCCGTGTCAAGACATTTTCATCCCCACAAATGGTGCTTTTTCCCTTTAAGAATCACCCACATTTGCCCTGGCTGGTGTAGCTCAGTGGATTGAGTGTGGGCCTTCGAACCAGAGGATTACAGTTCGATTCCCAGTCAGGGCACATGCCTGGGTTGCAGGCCAGTTCCCAGCAGGGGACCCAGGAGAGGCAACCATACATTAATATTTCTCTCCCTCTCTCTTTCCCTTCCCCTCTAAAGATAAATAAATAAAATCTTAGAAAAAGAATCACCCACATTCCCCTTTCCCTGAAGCTCCTGGGAGCGCCCCATCTGCCTTTCGCCTGTAGGGATTCACCTTCTCTGGGTGCTTCACATACATGATTCACACAGTAGAGGACGTTTCATGTCTGGATTCTTTCACTTAGCGTGATGTTTCAGAGGTAGCACGCATCGGCGCTTCGTTCCTTTTTATGGCTTGGTGATACTCCATTGTGCGGACAGGTCACCACCGTGGAAAACAGTCCAGCGCTTCTTCAGAAAGTTAAACAAAGAACTACTGTGTGACTCAGCAATTCTACTCCTAGGTGTAGACCCGGAAGAACTGAAAACTGGTATCCGAGCAAATCCTTGCACACGAATGTCCGTCGCAGCACGATACACATCACTGGCACGTTCCGAGTCGTGCAGGGTGTTGGCTGTTGTTAGGTGTGAAGGTTGTGCTGACATCCTTGGCCTTGCCCTCTAGATACCAGTAGGCCTCTGCCATCATTTCAAAGCCCAACACCACCTTTCTAAGTTTTCCGTGGGGCTTTCCACTGCCAGGGAGACCACCAAGGGGACTCACACTCCGTGAGTGGAGAGGCTGAGGCCCAGGGAAGGGAGCTGATGCAGGGAGTCAGTTGGAGCGAAGACTAGATCCTGCCTCTCTTCAACCCAAGCTGATGCTCTTCCCATGGTGAGCTCCCGTCCGTCCCAGAGAACCTTGAGGTCGGGAAGAAAACTCACTGGTCCCCGGTGCTGAGCATGGGTCCGATTTCCTGCCCATACCCTGTTCCCTCCCGCCTCCAAATGGAGAGGACAGAAACTCCCTCACTGGATGTAGGCTGCTCTCAGGAGAATATAATCTCCTAGTATTAAATTCATTTTTTAAAAAAATGTATTGATTTGAGAGAGAGAAAGAGAGAGGGAGAGAAACATTTACCTGCTGTTCTGCCCATCCATGCATTCATTGGTTGGCTCTTTATGTGCCCTGAGCAGAGACCAAACCCGTAACCCATCACCCATTGTGGGGTGATGTTCCCATGGACTGAGCTACCTGGCTAGGGCTCCTACTTTTATATAAGAATCCTGAGAACAGAGGCTTTGAGTCTGAATCCCCCCATCTAGAAAGTGCCTGGCACATGGTAGGTTTTACATATATTGAATGAATGGATGGATGGATGAATGAATGGTGTGCAGCCCTGCTGTCCCAAGATTCTCTTTCTCTTCCCTGGGATGGAAAAGGGGTGAGCTGTCCCTGGTATGAGCACATCCTCTGAAGGTAACTTTGGTTTGATTCTTCTGTGTCCCCCATGTACCCAGCACAGGGCCTTGTAAAATGCAGACTGTGTTGGGTGCTCAGGAAACCGGGAAAAGCTGGGAAGGAAGTGGTTAGGCTGTTTCTCTCTCAGGTGTGGGGAGATCTGTCTGGCTGCCACCTCTGTCACCCGTGCACCTCCAGAGGTGATCGGAATGGCTGGACCGCCTTGTTTTCCTCCCTGTCCCAGTCTGTTTTCCTGTCCTCACTCCTGGGGGCCCTTCCCTGACGCCCTGCCCAGGCCTGTGGGCTTCTGAACCCCCATCCCCTTTGTGTCATCACTGAATATTTCACGGGTTTGGTTCAAGGAAATATTTCAAGTTGAATTATAAAGGCAGCAGCGAACAGGTGGGCTCAGAACGTGGGCTGAGGCTCCCGGGGTGACCTTGTTTCTCACAGTATGGTTATCATCTTGGGACAGATGGAGAAACTGAGGCACAGAGCAAGGCGGTGGCTGGCTCCTTCATACAGGAATGAGCCATGAGAGACCAGTCTCCTGACTTCTGGATTCTGGAGGGAACATTTGTTTGTTTTTGTGACTCAGAAACATAGTGTATTGAGCTGAGGGCAGAGATGCGTCTGCCATCAGTGCGGGGAAAGCTGAAACATCCCTGAGACCTGGCCGGCTGGGGGTCCCGCCTGCGCCCTGTGCTTTCAGCCCCTCCAGGTCTGGCTACATAATGTGTGGGCCCGG